ATATATTTATATATATTATATATATGTATATATGAAAAATATATCAAAATGCATGTGGGTACTCAAATGAAAGCTCTTGATGAGTGTAACGTCGGGATGAGCTTATATCTTTAAAAATGTGAATATTTAAGAAAGTACAGTGCAATTTAACAAAATTCATTATTTAATAAATCAAAATTTTTTCGTAGTTATATAGATTACCTCAAGATAATATCCAGCATTCCTAAGATGCTGATACATCTCCTTAAAATTAGTATGAATATGATCGCCATTCCAATCAAGAGGATCATTCTTCGCCAGAAGATCATCCCTGGGAAAGTACCCAGGGGGATACCTCAAGTTGTGAAACTGGTCCCAGAGGAGTCTTTTGTGCCTGGGAGGAGTCGGAATGACCTTAACCTTGAGCGGAAGGTTGATAGTCGACCTGACAGCCTCAGTGTCTTGGTCATCCTGAGACGGCGACTCCACCGTGAGACTGATATGTCCATGAGCGACACCCTGCCAGCCAGCAGCAGCTTTGGGAACAGTCAACGCAACAGCCAACCACCCGGACCAGGGCCACAGGACGTCACTGAAGGTCAGGGCAACGTCGACCTTCTCTCCGTAGCCTTCTCCGAGGTACGGGTGCCAGGTGACATTTGCGACGTGACCTGAGACACCCAGCCCGTTGATGATCGTCACGTTCACCACAGTTGGCATCCCCGAGTAGTAAATCGCCTGGGTGCAGTACGGCCACATGTACATGCACTCAGTTAGGTCCACGTAGCTTGGGCTCAGTGTCACCTGCGGAATGTAGTGCCGCAGGAAATAGAACGCCCGGAGGAGATCCAATTTTCCTGCACCCTGCTCGAACATTCCGACCCCAGGTAGTCTTCGGGCTGAACTTAGTAGTGCCTGCTTCATGCTTGCGGGAGTGATCCTGAAAAAAAAATATTTTAATTAGAGAAAATTTTTTAATTTACCTTGTTAATTCATTTTAATAAAATTAATTTTATTTTTCTACATTAAAATTTACCAAGACTCAAAATAATTTTTATTAAAATTTAGGTCAATGTTTTAGTCAAATTTTTTGAAAAATATAATTAATATATTAATAAATTTGTTTTAAGGTTTTAGAAAATCCTGTAATTATTTACAAGTGGGGTCTACTATTTTAATTTTCATTTTTTTTGAAAATTTTGATATGTTGCTTTTCAAAAAATACATAAAAAAATGAACTATTAAAAAACAAAGTTGATTACCACAATTTTAATAAATTTCCAAAAAAATTTATAAATTTTTTAAAAAATTGTAATTTTTAACTTTTTTTTTTTTTAAATTGTTCGTTTTTTTATGTACTTTTCAAAAAAAAAATGTATCAAAAACTTAAAAAAAAAATAAGATAGAAATTTTATCCAAAAACATAAGAACCAAAATTTTTTTTTCACTTTTTGAAGGCAAAAAAGCTATCAAAATTTTAATTTTTTGAAATTTTCGATATCACCACCATAAATCCGCTGTAAAAACAAACAGAATAATAAAAATTAAAAAATGTCAATTTTTCAGCTATATATGGCCAAAAATAGGTTTGACCCCACTTGTAAATAATTACCAAAAATCCGACTGCAACGCCAACTTTAAATGTAAAAAAAATCATGTATTATAAATATATAAAAAAATTTTTATTTTGGCAGGGATCAAAAGTTTTACATTGGTGAAGTGGTATTACTCTTTTTTAACAGCGCGGAGCGAACAGGGTTCGAGTCCCGTCTCGGGTAAATTTTTTATTATTTATAATTTTAAAAAAAATTTATATTTCATCCCAAAAAAAATTGATATTGAGTCAAGGTTATGATTCTTATTTATTTTTTAAATAAAATTAATTTAAATTTGAAAGATTTAAAAATTTTGACATTTCATAAAAAATTTAGAAGTAATAAAATAATTATTTCATTAAATATATAAAAAAAAATAATTTGATCAAAATTTCAATTTTTAAAAATTAAAAAATTTTTATAAAAATAAAATTAGTGTAAAAAATTCCATACGTAGAAAATAAAAAAAATTACAAATGAAATTCTTATCACAATTAATAAAAAAATTATCAGCTGTCTAATAATTTTAATTAATATAAAAATTAACACAAAATATTAAAAATCTTGTAAGAAATTTATTCAATATTAAAAAAAAAATTTTTTTTAATTTAACTTAAAAATTTCTTAAATTAAAAAAAAAAATTTAGACTAAAAAATGAACCTTGTTTTTTGAGTGAGGTCGCCAACGAACCCGCTAGCTAAAAGAGCAACTGCCCCGGCGACTACGGGGCTTGCAACGGAAGTCCCAGACAAAGATTGGCAGCCGGTCTTCAAAGCAGACCCGCGAACTCCCGATCCGTAGGTCACCAGGTCGGGCTTGACTCTTCCATACCCATTAGGCAGCTCCCAGGTGGTCATTCCTCTAGAAGAGAAACTAGCAATTTTATCAGCCCAGTTGATCCCGCCGACTCCGATGACGTCCATCTGGTCCGCGGGGTTGTTGTGGGTCCCGTAAAGCGGACCGTCGTTCCCCGTTGCGGAGACCATGATCACTCCGTTCGCCGTCAGCTCCCAGACCTTGTCCACGAAGGGGTGGTCCATAAAATCTGGACCTCCGATGGAGAGGTTCAGCACCGTGATCTTGGACAAAATCGCGTAGTTGAACGCGTCCAGAAACCAGGAGGTGTAGGACACTTGTTCGTTGGTGAACACTCGGAAGATGTGGAGCTCTGCGTCTGGCGCTAGGCCCAAGCATTCTTTTGACGATGAAGCGATGACACCTGCTACGAAGGTTCCATGCCCCAGGGTGTCGCTCAAGGACTTTTCGTTGGTCCAGTTCGTTCTTTCTTTGATGTTCTTCAGGTGAGGGTGGCTCGCTGCTAGACCTGTGTCGAACACTGCTACTTTTACGTTCTGGCCAGTTACTCGCAGCTTCCACAGCGCGTCCACCTGGAGGTTGAGGAATTTTTGTTTTATTAATTTTGGTAGGAATTTTAATTATTAATGTAATAATTAAATCAATAGACAGCTTGATGTATTTTTGTTTCATCTTATAAATTTAAAAGTTGGTACTAAGGAAATATTTTAGGAAAATTATCGAATATTAATTTGAGAAAATTTTGTGTAATTGTGTTAAAATCAATCAGATGCTAATTGAAATATTTCATTATAATAACGTTTTAATAATAATTTCCATCAAAACGGTCCAAACTGTAACAGTTCATTCAAATAAGCTTGAAATTTTTTAATTTAAGACGTGTGTACAGAAAAACGTCTGTCTAGTCCGCTAGTAAAAATATAATAATATATATTAATATATTATTATATTATTAATAATAATATAATAATGTTTCGAAAGACAAAAAAATTTTTACCAATCAAGTTTTAAAAAAAAAATAAAATAAAATTTATTACTAGTTTGTTTTTTCTATTTTTCTTTAATAATAGAGAATTTACTTATTTTATTAGTCATAACATTGATAATAATAATAATAATAATAATAATAATAATAATAATAATAATAATAATAATAAAATTTGTTTGATAATTATATTTGTAATTGTTATTTTTAATTATAATTAATCGAAGCTGTAACATAGTCTGACGTTCGACGGCGCGGTATTCTGACAGCGCCTAGCGCTCGGTGCGCTGTGATAAATAAATTTATATTGTTTAAACAAATCGCGAGCAGTAAAATTTTAATTTGTTAACTGAAAAGTTAATTAACAATATGATAATAAACAAATAATTTTTAGTTATTAATATTTTATTAAAATATAAACATTTTAAAAACAAATTCTTCAAGTCCCATTAATTTAACTTTAACGGTTGATTTACAATTAATTTTTTAATTAAAATTACTTAATTTTCATGATCAAGTGGAAAATAGGGGGTCCAGTTGACGTGATCTTGCTCAATTAAGAGTGCTAATTTTTAAAATAATCAATAAATGTTACTTTTTTAATAAAAATTTGAAAAATTCTATATTTTTATTTAAAAATAAAGAACAGCTTACCTGCAAAACAGAAGTAATCTGCTTAGGAATCGCCCGAAGAAGCCGCCGGTTAGTGTGTCGGTTCGCCCAGGACTCGTTCAAATTTTTCATCTTCCTGCGAAACACTTTCTCACCATCCTCAGTAGAGTTAACATAATTCAGCGTGCGGTAGACCAGCCGCTGCGGAGTAACTCGCTTAACCAGAGGATGCTCCGTCAGCGCGTCCAGACCTGTATACTTCTGGGTCTCCTTCAACAAGACTACATCAAAGTCACTTGGATGCTCGCTGGCCGCATTTTCACGCTTCAGAATTCTCCAATCCGCGACTCCGGAATTGGTCAGCGCTGCGCTGATGTAACTCTGCCGGGTGCTTGGCTTGTAGTAGCCCTTGAAGACCACTATGTACTCGTTCTCTACTACCCGGGATGTAAACTGGACCTTCACTGTAGATGTCACATTTGATAAATCTTCAGACGAGACATTGCTTAGCAGAAGCAGCAGCGCCAAGACGAGGTTCATTTTTTTTAAACCTAAAATTTTAATAATAATAATAATAATAATAATAATAATAATAATAATAATAATAATAATAATAATAATAATAATAATGATAATTTTTATGAAAATAATGAAAATAAATTTAGCAGATATTCAATAATTTTTTTTTTTAAATAAATTGTGGAAAAAAAAATTAGAAAAAAAAAATTGACATGTAAATTAATAATAATAGGGTAAATGCACCAGTTGTTGACCGGTCACCAATTAGTTGACCGATGTATAAAAAAGTTAATTAATTAATATTTTACAAGGGTTTTTTTTTCTTAAAGTATTAAAATAAAACAATATGACATTTAATCATCATAATAAAAAATTACGCAATTAATTGCGCAGTGATTATAGCTTTAAAAAAATATTCTGAGTTTGTTTACAACGCAACCAGCCATAAAGTGGTCAAAAATAACTAGCGTACAATTGGAGAGTGAGTGCATTTCATCATTAATTTAGTGATATTTATCGGCATAATATAAAATATTTTAGTTTTATTATGTTAATTGAAGATCAGATTCCAACTTTTTTGAAAAAATAAAGTTAAATTATAAGTTTTAATATTACTTTAAAACCGGTCAACTATTGGATCCGTCAGAAGCCTTTTGCCCAGTAAAAAATTCATTCGGTCATTTATTAGACCCTCTGATTTTATCACAATCCAATTAATGACCGTATATTTATAATAATAACTTATCAACCTTAAAATTAAATCTGTCAAGTGTTTAAAGTACTTTAGTCATTAAATATTTTGTAAATATAAAAATAATCATTATAAAATGTATATTTATAATTAAAATAGTACTTAAAATCTTTTTTGATTATTAAATTTTATTTTGTTGTAATTTTTTTAGTGAACGGTTATATCAAAGAACGAATTATTAGAAGAAAAAATTGCTAAGCAATTAAAAAAAATAAAAAAGAGTTACAAGCTAATAAAAAAGCTTTAATTGAAAAAAAGAAAGAGAAGAATAAAAAAATTTCAAGTGAATCAGAAGAATTATCATCATCAAAATGAATTTGTGATTATATGTGACCTAAAGAAATGTGACTTTATATTATATATTTACTGCATAAATTTAATTACATACAAGTAGTTTACAAAATTACTTATAATTACTTCAGCGGTCAATTAATTGGAGAACCGTCGGTCATTTATTGGGTTTCTTCGATCAATAATTGGTGATTTTAGTATTTCAACATTCAAATAACAAAATTAATATAATTTTGTCAATTTTTATTATAAATAGTTATTAATTATTATTAATTAAGTATTTAACTTTAATAAAATCCATTAAAAATTGTTTTTAGTAGGTTAATAGATTTTTTATAGCTTAGAACAGAAAAAGAAAACCTTAATCGGTCAATAATTGGTCCATTTACCCTATATTAACATTTTCTCAATATAATTTTTATATAATAACAGAAAATTATTTTTAAATATTCAAAATTATTAATAAAAAATTAGAACTTTTATATACTCTGGCAAGGTTTCTTTACCAGCGAGAAAAAATTGCCACCTAGCGGCGAAGACAAGAACTAAGTATCCTAACCACATTTTTTACAAACTGTCACTATAAGCACATTCTAACTAAATTTATATTATTTTTAATAATATAAATTATAAACATTGAATAATTAATTTATTAAAAATTAATAAATGTTCAGTGTAAAAAATAGAACATGAAAAAAAATTGGCTTAGAGTTAAAAAAGTTATCTTATTTTTCATATTTTTAATATTTAAGCCAAAATTTTAATTTTTAACTTTCTAATCACTTTGTCTAATTAGGCACGATTAAAATTAAATTTTACATTAAAATTCTGGATAAACGATAAGAGATATAAAAAAATTGATAAAGATCTTATAGATAAAAAATTTAATTTTCTATAAAAAAAGTTTCTTATCATTTTTTCATATCTTCAGTACTCAGCCCAGAATTCCAATTTTAAACTTTTTAAATACTTGGTCTGAGTAGACACGATAGAAATCATGTTTAAAATTGAAATTCTGGATAAATGATAAGAGAGAGAAAAATTGATAAGAACCTTTTACCCAGAGAATTTAATTCTCTATAAAAAAGGTTTCTTACGATTTTTTTTATCTATTTATTTTTAAAAAAATCAATTTAAATCACTAAACAAGTTAATAAAAAACCATTTATCTAATTTTAAGTTTGATATTTTTTTTTAATTGTTTAATTGAAATTTTTTGGATAAAAAAATTTCTAAAAATTTTGAAATGTCAGCATAAATTAATAATAAAATTTATAATAACAATAATAATAATAATAATAATAATAATAATAATAATAATAATAAAATTTTTTTACTTACATTTAATTAATTTATTAATAATTCTAGCCTCACTTTTTTTTCAGGGTATTAAACTTTGACAGGTGAATCATTTTGCTAATCTCCAATAACTTTTTCACTTTTATAAAAATAAATAAATTTTTTTTTTTTAATCACTCCATAATTATTATATAATTATTTACAAAATAATTTTATAAAGTGACAGGACCAAAATAAAAATAAAAATTTTTTATTTGTCAGTTATATGTTCTATATACATGTCATATAAATGTATATAAATATATAAATATGTGATGAGAATAAAATGCAATTCTAGGTCATGACTTTTATAAAATTTATGAAATTTCACTTAAATTATTTATTTATTTATTTATTTACAATTATCACCGCACTTTCTTTTGGAGTTTATTGTTATTGCGCGCTAAATTTTTGAGGTTATAGCGTTCTGTCTCTTATGACATTTATTTATTTATGTATATAGAAGACAGGTGAGACACTTATTTAATTTAAAAGAGCTTTTAATTTCGGACAAAGTGCGTGAAAGGGCTCGGTAACTTCTTCTAGGCACTTTATAACTTCTTCTTCTGTTAAAGTTTCATAAGCTTCTTGGTCTAAAATAAAAAAGAAATTAATGAATTAATTTAATGGAGTTGAAAAAATATTCATACTGAAATCAGCTGACATCTGACAATTTTTTTTTATTATTCTGATTAAAAAAAAAATTTCTTATTTTAATTTAAATTTTTAGTCGTGAAATTTTTTAATTAAAATTTTTTTATAATAATTTAGTTTCGGAAAAAGAAAAAAAAATGACAGATTTTAATTAAAAATTTTTTTAGAATTTTATAACAATTATAAATTGTGAAAAAAATTATGAGAATTAATTTAGCAGATATTTCAAAATTTTAAGAATTTTTTTAACAAATAAATGGTTGCAAAAAAAAATTAGAAAAAAATATTGACATGTAGAAATTTTAAGAAATTAAAAATGAAATTTTTTTAAAAGTAATTTTTTAAAACAAATTTTTCTGTTAAAAAAAAATTAAAAACTGGCCAAGACTGTTAATTTTAATGTCATAAAAAAATTCCACATGTTAAAATTTAAAAAAAATTGTCAGTCAAAACTTTTAGAAGCACTTTTAGTATTGTAATTGATTTGTTATAAGAACTTAAAAAATTGACAGCTGTCAGCTAATTTCAGTATCACAAAAAAATTTTTATTTTTAAAAAATTGCTTCTATAATTTTTTAGTTTTTAAAGATGGAATTTTGGAGTCAATTTTTTTTGCTGCAATTTATAAGTTAAAAAATGTCTAAAAATCATCAGATGTTTTTTAATTTCAGTATTAAAAAAATTATTATATAATTTAAAATAATAAAAAAAAATTACTTCTTATGCATAAAAGTCCAAAAGACTCAGAAACAGCAGGAACAAATGCGCTAGTGTCTTTGATCCCGGTGCTGATTTTTGTAGCCCAGATATAAACTCTAACGTCATCATAAAAAGTTTGTCCTGGAGATTTAGCGCGAGTTATCGCAATATTGTGAGCAACTTCATTATTCTGCAGCCACTCCATGATAAAAAATATCTTGGTCACAAAATTTTCCAAGTTTTTGTCAGGAAATGATGAAAGTTTTAAGCAGAATCCGCGAGCTGGGTAGTCTTTTAGGATGTAAACTTGATTTGTCAGACATTCTAGTTCCTGAAATGAAAAAATTTTTTTTGGTAAAAATGAAACCTAAATAATAATAAATAAAATGAATAAATAAATAATTAAATTAATTATTTAATAAATAAATTAATTAATAAAATAAATAATTAATAAATAAATATTAATTTGATACTAACAATTTCTTCAAGTAACATTTCATGTTTCAGGTAATAAAAATGCCAGTGAAGATGGTTCACTGATGCGTACGCGCATAGTCCATTGAAAACAGCTCGCAAATGTCTAAATAATTAATTTTTTATTTTTATTTTTACTAAAATTAATTTATAAAACATAAATAAGTAAAAAATTTTTAATATTCTTACGGAGATCTGCTGAGAAGAAATAGCTGGATAATTTGAGCCAAGCTTCGCTTGGTTAAAACTTGAGGCAAACATTTTAAGCGGTCAGATAAAAATAATACATGGCCGTAGGCAAACGGGCTTACATTTACGGCTATCACATCGTTACCCTGGCCGTTTGATAAGTCGATTATTATTTCTTCTTCGGGAATTTTTGTGAAGTTAAAACGGGTTGGATCAAATGGCTGCTTTATTGATGTTATATTTTCTGGAGTACGACGATTTTGCGCTCGGTCGAGGTTTAACTGTAAAAAGTATAAATTTTATTAATTTAGAGATTTGTAATTATTTTATTTATTTATTTATTGGATTTATATGCCAAGGCTTAGCCGGATGGCAAATTGTACAATGTCTAGTATAATTAATGACTAATGAGTAATATTTAAAAATTAATTTAACTAATTAGCTCCGAATTATTATTATTATTATTATTTAAAAAAAATTACACTTATTTGTTATAAGAAAAAAAATTTTTTTGATGAATTCGGAGTTTGAGAAATAATAAAATATTTTTTCTTTAATTTTATTGAATCTTTTTTAATCTTACAGAAAAATTAAAAAAAAAACTTTTTAATTTATTTGTTAAAAAAATAAAAAATCAAATCAATAATTTTTTTATTAAATAATAAATTAAAAAAAAAAAGAAAATTATAATAAAATTAATGAAATGTTTTATTGAAATGAAAATTAATTTAGCCAATATTTAACAATTTTAATAATTTTTTTAATCAATAAATTGCTGCATAAAAAGAATGAGAAAAAAAATGGACATTTAGAAATTTTAATAAATTAAAAATGCAATTTTTTTAAAATAATTTTTCAGAACAAATTTTTTTGTTAAATAACATTAAAAAATGGTCAAGTGACAACTAACTTTAATATCATTTTATTGAAAAAATTCTTTTCTTTAATTTTGAATGAAAAAAAATTTTTTAATTTTTTAAATAATAATTTATTTGTTAAAAACATAATAAAAATGATCAAATCATTAATTTTTTAAATAATTTTTCTTCATTCGATTTAATAATAAACTTTAAGATGTTTTTTTTAATCTAACAAAATTTTTTACATGATAATTTATTTGTTAAAAAAATCATAAAAATGATTAAGCACGTAATTTTTTCATATCAAGTTTAAAAATAATAAAATAATAATAATAAATTACCTGCATTAAAAAATTATATTTCCCACTGAGACGTTTTTCTTTATTAATCACCAATTTATACCTCAAAATATTATTATCCTCCGCATGTTTCCACTTTTCAATTAATAATCTATCAAATTCTGACTCTCCAGGTTCTTTTATTTCAAAAATAAAATCTTCTTGCTTGTAATTAAATATCTTACTTGTCAATTCAGCCATTTTTCACCAATTACTTAACCAACTAAATATTTACACGTGTTTAACAAAATAAACCCAGAAATTGCTTAAACACGTGGGTCGTGTCAAAATCAGCTGACGCGCTTTATTTTACCGCCCCCTGGCGTGAGAAAAAAATAAATTAATATGTAAATAATTAAAATTAGTGTCATAAATATTATTATTATTCATATTTTGCACTGAAATTTCATATAAATAATTAAAATTTTAATTGAAAAAAAATTAATTTACATTTTTTAAAATAATTTTAAATTTCCCGCGAAATTCAAACAGCTGCCATTTTTAAAAGTTTTAGATCTTCGCCGGCAGAGCGTCGAGCATCAGTGTCACGCCGGTTGTAGAAAAGTAAACATCTTAGTAAAAATAAAAATAAGTGTAGTGCTGTCAATTGTTACATTGTTTTAATAATTAAAGTGTAATTACAATGGGAGTTACTGTGTAAGTTTATTTAATAAATAATTATTGTTGCTAATTGTTAAGTATCAGAGAAACAATTTTTTTTATAAAGCCGGCTCGCGTGTTTTTTTTTTTAAGTGATTTCGGCTTTTTAAATTATTCAAAAATAATTATCTGCAATTTTTAAATTATTTATATTAATAAAAAAAAAAAATTGTGACAGCCAAACGAAAATATAAAGTTTGGTTTTTTTATTTTTCATTAATTAGAAAAAAATTGACACTTGATACTTTAAATTGTAGTTTTATAAAAAAATTGATAATTGCAATTTATATAATTAGGTTGCAACAATTTCCGATGAAGGAAAATCAAACTGGCCCGCAGATGATTGAACATTTGACGAAACACCTCGTGGGACTTGGAGCTGTGCAAGCTGGACAATTTTTGGTTGATTGCGAAACTTATATGACAGTTCCTCAATTTGGTGAGTTTATTTATTTATTTATTTATTATCATACGAAAATTGAAAGACATCTGATGATTTTTGAAATTTTTTTAACATATAAATTATAGCAATAAGTAAAGTTTATTTGAAAAATTCTATCTTTAGAAGCTCTACAAAATTATAAATGCAATTTTTTTTTAAAATAATTTTCTAGATCTAGTTTATTTTTAAGGAATAATTAAAAAATTATCGTGTTATAGAAAATTTTTTAAAGATTTTTTTGTTTTATTAAAAAATAATGTGAAAATCACCTAAAAGACAATCTAAAAAATTTTTTATAACAAATCAATTATAATTGAGGAAATTTTTTTAATTGATTTTTTTTTATAAAAATCCAAAAAATTGTAAGGTTTATTATTTTAATATAAAAGAAATTAATAAGTATTAGCAATCTTGCAGTCACTGCGTGACTGCTGAGAGACTTGTGACCGATTAAAGATTAAAATGTTACTTTATTAAATAATGACTTTTGTTAAATTGCACTGTATTTTCTTAAATATTGACATTTTCAAAGATATAAGCTCATCTCGATGTTACATTCATCAAGAGCTTTCATTTGAGTACCCACATGCATTTTTGATATATTTTTCATATATACATATACATCCTATATATAAAATATATGAAAAATTGATGTGGGTACTCAAATGAAAGGTCTCGATGATTGCAACTTCGGGACGAGCTTATATCTTTAAAAATGTCGATATTTCACATGATACAAGGTCATTTCTTAATTATGTATCTAAAGATAGAGTATTTTCGAATGGAACAAATATTTATCATAATAAATTTACTATCGGTGAGAATGAACCAAAACCTTGAAAAGACACAAATTCAAGTCACGACCTTTGCAATGACATTCAATTCCTCTAAAAAAAACTGATTTTATCATATGACTATTCTGGAAACAAAATTTATTTTGTTCTCTTAAAAATATAGATTAAAACAATTTAAAAAATTATTCTTAAGGTTGTACGGACACTAATGCACTTTTGAAGATCAGAAGCTAATTTTTTGATATGTTATGAATTGCTATCTCATACGTCTAAATTAATTTTTTTGAATAGATCTGTCGAAGGGTTATCCTTTAATAAATTATTAAAAAATTGAAATTTAACATGTAGCCTATAGAGACTATTGGCGGATTGCACATATATCGATTTATGTGACTGCCTCATAGGAAGATTAAAAAACAAAAAACTTCTATTTCAGTCAATCAACTTTCGTAGAATACGTTAAAAATAAAATGAAAATTTTCTGCCGAAGGCTTTTAAAGATATTTTAATGCAAAAGATGAGAAATTCACGAAAATTTCAGGCCGCCATATTTAAAAATAAACAAACCACGTGATTCAGCGCAGTGTGGCAACGTTGCACAAAATAGAACGCGCGAATTTTGAATTTTAGTAATTCCTGTGTATTTTTATGGGTTATGTTTTTCAACTCAACACTACACAGTGAGATAAATATAAACAGCTGTTAAGTGCGGTGTTGTCAGGTCCAAGTTTTGTGAAAAAATACTTGAGTCAAACGTTGACTATTTATTGTTGTTGTTAATTAAATTATTAAATTATTTTATTTAATAATAATGTAAGGTAACGATTAAATTATAGTAATGAATTTTCGTATTTAAATTTTCAAGTTTAATGAAAAAAAAATTTAGATTCTACTATGACTTACGGGGTACTGTCCGTGCAACCTTAATATTCTTCAATTTTTTTATTTGAATTAAAAAAAATTTTTTTTTCATATTTATTTTTTAATATCATAAGTTATTCTCATAACTAAAAAATTTCTAAACAGATAATAAAATTATAATAGTAGTCTGGAACTTGATTATCATTAAATTATCAATTTTTTAATTAATTAAATTAGAACTAGAAAAATATGTTTAAAAAATTCCATTTGAATTTTTTCAAAATTTTTCCAAGTAGAAAGTTTTTTAGCAAAAAAAACTTTTTAAAATTGTCAAAAATCTGCTAATTTAATTTTCTTAAAAAAAAAAAAGCGGAAAACGGTCGATAAATTAGGAATTTAACAAATTAAAAATAATTTAAAAAATCAGGTAAAAAATAAAAAATCATTGAGTTTATAAACAAAATTTATTTTTTAAATCTTAAATACTTATCTACTATATTTGCAATACAATACACATTTTTAAAATAATTATCTATTACAAACACACTCGATATATTTTATTTAAATTTCGATAAATTCTCTCTTATAATTAAAATACTCAGTCATCCATTAAGTACAATAAAAGTTATTATTAATTATAAATAATTAATAAAAATTACTGGCAAAAAATATTTCATCAAACACACAATCGATATTTAAATCCTTCATCCGAAAAGTTATTTAATAGACCGGCGGTACTACTTTTGTGCTACTGAAAGATAAAATTTACTTTTTATTTGGTGTTGCTTTCTTTACAATTATTTTTATTATTATTATTATTATTAATAATAATAACAATCCATTAATTGTTCATATAAAGATTTAGATTTTCAGTAATTAACTTTTAAAAATGGAAATTTAAATAAAGCCGATTAAAACTACTACTATGCTCGTTACAAAAATATTAAAACTAGCAAGCGAAGCTAGACGATATTCACTTATATATTTTTATTCATATATTTATATATATATAATATAATTAAATTTAAATATCGTTTGGAAAATACATTTCTTTCGTCTTTCGATTAAACCTTTCTGTTTTGTCACGTGACCAGCACTCCGTTATATTTTTAATTATTTATTATTATAAATGCAATTATGTTTATAATTAATATTTATTGTCAAGGTTTAGTTACTTAGAATCAAAGTCTAAGGTAGAAGCTCTGAATTATTTTTTTCTAGATTATTTCATTTCTTTTTTATTCAATTATACCAGAGTCTATTTTATTGTCTTATTTTTAAAATAAAATTTAAAATTAGTTGAAAAAAAAATTTTTTTTTTAAATACAATTATTGTCTGGCAATTAAATATTAAATCACTTAATTTTTTTTAGTTAAAATTATTGCAATTATTAAAAAAAAAAAAAAATTTACTCTGGCTGGGAATCGAACCCTGCTCCCGCGAAGTAGTAAATTTTTTGCTCCGCGCGAGACTATTTAAAAAATTTAATCAAGTTTTTCTACCGAAAAATAAGTGATTTATTTATCTGCCTTTCATTTTAAAGCGTAACAAAATTTTTGTCAATAAAAATTCCGATTCAATTCACAGAAGTGCATCTGCAGATTTGTCTATTAGTTTAAAAAACGAACTTTATACCCTACGCAAATGCCTCGGGCACAATAAAACGGGAGACTTACATTGTAATAATTATAAAATTTAAAATTATCGTGCCTATGGCACCTTTGACGTAACGTCCAAGCCCTTGAGCATTGCACAAAAAAGGTACAAGATAAAAATTCTATTTCGGAATAAAAACTAGTAAATGCAAATCTAAGTACGAGATTTTTCCTATAAAAGATTGATAAAATCGATATGAATTTTTAGGATATTTTTAATTCGTGATATTTTTTATCACAGGTTTATTATCTGAAGTACCTGACAAGAGATGTCCTAAAATAAAAATAAAAATAAAAAAAAAAAAAAACTCCGCTCGGGATTCGAACCCTCGACCGTCGGCTCGGATTACGTTCGCGGTTTCAGTGAAACAAAATGGCTTAGATCTCTCTCTGTTTGATAAATTAACGGTGTAAACAATAATAAAGGCACAAAATAAACGAATGGCAGTTTAAAATTCGTTAATTAAATTTTGATATTGTCTGAACATTAAACAATTAAAGTAAGTTTGGCAATTTTTATTGTCCTTCGATATATTCTAGGCTATATTTATACGAAATATATTTATATATATTTATATTTTTTTTTTAATATATATATTTATTTTTTAATTAAGGAAGTTGATTTATCGTAGACTAATTACCTATGTATTGTCAATATTAAGTCATCGGCCTGAAGTGAGCTTAATCGCGTCCATTTTGAGTCCCAAATTTTAAAGTTATCTCACGCGATTTCGATCCCACTTATTAGTTATTATTATCATTATTATTACTATTATCCTTTAGTTATAATAATATAAAGGTGGTTTAGTATTGTCATCTTTTCTGGAAGGCACGATGTATGGAAGTTCTGCCTTTCGCTAAAGCGAAATCTTTTATTATTATTATCGGCTAATATTTTTTTTTTCATTCCGGTCCAGTGCTTTGTGCAATTTGTGTGGACGTAATTGTCGACGATGAGCATTTTTTAACGTTATTATCGTAAAAACGACCAGCGTTTCATTCCCAGCTTTGGTCAAGTTTCGGACTTCTGAATCTAACATAAATTTTTCACTAAAAAAGATCCAATATTTAAAAAATAATAACCGAATTTATGGAAAAAGTCATAATGACTATCCAACAAAAGTCCGAAAACAATGACCTAACCCTCAAAACCTCCATTAAAATAAAACCTGTATTACCATCATCACAAGTAACAGGTCTTGTAGTAAATAAGCGCAACAGTATCTCTGCCATAGATTCTATACTCTCTTTCATAATGCACTTTACCCGGGACGTATTTTTCCTTGGGCATAAATCTATCTAACCTCGACAGACTCTGATAAAGTTTAAGATAATTTTCATCGCGATCATCGCTTTCTTCATAAAATCTTCTGTACCTTTCGAGCAGGGACATGCTGCTGGTGCTTCCGTACTCAGCCCGGGGTGTCATGATGCTCGTCGGCAAGTGAAAAGTAGTATCGCGTTCCAACACTCGGTCGATATCCGCGTCGGTAAGATCACTGCTGCTCAACCGACGGGTTAAATGTCCATTAAAGTATCCGTTACTTAACCTAGTCCTCGGCAAATTCGAGTATAAAACCCGGGGATTGAAGTTACCATACTTCAACAATTCAAGATCGTTGTGCTTAAACCGGGTGAACTGTCGCCTAGTTCGTCTAGATTCAGGCGATGGATTTCCGTCTATTTCGTTGATAAAGACAGTTTGGTTTTGCTCTTGGTGATATTCTTCCTGGATCTCGGAATTCACCACAAAGTTCATCTGGCTCCACTGATCTTGCCCAGAAGTAAAGAACCTGCTACTGGAGTCATAATCCGCGAAATTGTGGAGCTTAATGTCCCCGCAATTGGGATTCCGGGTAGATTTCATAAGATTGCGGGTAGGCATAAATCTGTGGGTCTGGATAAAGTTACCGACGTTGCGGGTGATACGTCCGGTCTTTTCAACAACGATACCGCAGTAATCTGTTAATTTACGCCGCGATAGATAACGCCTGCTCGATGATTTACCCTTGGTAATACCAGCCAATTGATCACGCAGTGACTGTGGATAACACCCAGCTGTTCCTGTTCCCGATGACGCGATATCAGTGTAGATCTTTCTGGGATCATGCTCGTTGGGATACGCGCCACTGGGCAGCGGCTTATTGGTTTTCTCTAGATTCGAAAGCCCTCCAGTGAGGGAGGCCTTGTACTACCGAGCTTGAGCGTAGTCTGGGTTCATCTCGTCCAGCTGCTTTCCCTTGGTCTCTGGTACGCAGCACACCACGAAGCACAGTCCGCAAACTGCCACCGCTGCGTAGAACCAAAACGCTCCATGAAGACCCAGTAACTGGAAAAAAATTACAATTTAGCAACCTTATGAATAAAAAAACATAAATTATAAGATTGTTACCTGCTGGAAGTCCATGAAAAGCTTGATGCCAAAGAACGCGCAGAAATAGCTAAAACTGGTGCTGATACTAGAGCCAAGGCCGCGGTACTCGAGAGGGAAGAGCTCCCCAATCAATAGCCACGAAATTGGCGATATGCCCAGCGCAAGGGCAGTTGTGAACACCAGGACACACAGTAGGGGTATCCAGTCGTGTTGTCCTATTGCCGGTGAATTCTCAAGCATATTTTGCGACACTGAATTGTAGTATGCATAGCTTCCGAATCCTGCTAGTGCCAGAGACATGAATACCGTGCTGGCTATCAAGAGAGGTAGTCTTCCTACGATGTCGATTAGAAACCCTGAAATCATAGAAGGGTTAGCGAAGATCAAGGAATTATTTTAAGACGAAGAAGACCTACCTGATAAGAGTGATGCAAGAAGTTGAACGAATCCAATGGCTATGGTGGCTCCGTGTGGACTCATACCGCCTAATGTTTGTCGAAATACAATAACTGCGTAATAAGTGAATGCATTGGCACCCGAAAATCTCTGGAAGAACATCAGCCCACATGTTATAGCAATTGGTTTGTACAATCGCGGTGTCAATACGCTATTGCGAAATGTCAGCTCGTATTGTTTCGCCCGTGATGCCAGCACGTTTGTCTTGATGACCTTAAATCAAATATTAGCGTGAAACAATAGGCTAGAATTCAATGATAAATGTCAAAATGTCATGTAGGTATTTGATAGTTTGATCGATAGAGATTATGAGTGCCAACCTGCAATTCTTGACGAACATCAACGTGGGATCCACGCAGCCATTTGAGACTCCCTGTAGCTTCTTCATCCCGGCCATTTAGGACCAGGTACGACGGTGTCTCTGGAATAAAAAGCGTACCGAAAAACAGCATTGTTGGTGCAATTGCAACAACCACGGCGCTTTGACGCCAATTGAGGTAGGAGCCAGCTATGTAGGAAAACAAGACGCCCACGTGCCCGACGACTTTAAGCATCGCCGATAGGCAGCCTCTGATCGCTGGCATTGATATTTCGGATATGTAAACCTGTCAGCAATAAAAATACGCTGTGTTATGATAATAATGTGATGTATGTAAAACGAATTGTATTGTAGAAGAAGGATTATTACTTGAGCGACCATTGTGATCACCGCGCAACAAAGCCCGCCGATGAAGCTCGTGGTGAAGACAAGCTCCACGCAGGGGGCCACTCCGGTAAGGATCCAAACGGCCGCTAAAGGCAAGGACGTGAGACGCAGAGCAAGCCTGCGACCGCGACGCATTATCCAGTCACCGATCATGGCGCCAAACCCCGCACCCAACATCGAGAGCGATGCCACCCACGAGGCTTCCTGCTTGGTCGCTGAAAACGCCCACCTGTGATCGAAATAAAGGATTATAATGTTGCCCGCCTTTGTTATGTTTGTCTTTTTATTTAAAAACTTTAATGTTCTGTTTTGTTGAATAAACATGTCTGAAGTATCTTTATGTGCGTTTGTTTTACTTTTCCTGATAAAACATACCAAGTGTCATTTCCTGATGATTGATAGAGGTGTGGCTGGCTGTCCAGGATCGAGTCTACTGCCGGTGATGTGTAGCCTTTGGCCAGTCCGCATGACAGCGTTCCCATTGATAGCGCCAAAGTTGCCAGCACCTACAACCAATAACCAATTCAAGTGTCAGATCTCATCAAAATTCATCATTATAGTTTTGGTTGTTGATGATTAGGACTCTTAGTGCAGCAAGGGATTTAAGGGAACTAATTGTCATCGAATTGTCCGATGGATTAATCAACGGGATCAATTAGTTCGGAATCTCAGTGGATGAAGACCCTAGCCGACTCTGACTGGCATCAGGACCAGGACCGAGAGAAAAAATAAATCGATGTCTTTTAAAGGTTGATGCAGTGCGCGTGTCTCCACGTACACGGTGTTTGCACCAAACTCTACATGTGTGTTAAATATATTGTGTGTGAGTACATATGTATATGTAAAGTGAGTGAGGATAGGATAGATATAGAATGGAGTAACTGCGGACGACATTTCACGGGTTGCTCTTTCCGGAATCTCTCATGCACGCGCAGTTAGATTCCATCGGTAAAAATTCAATTGCATCCCACTTTATGGATGAATAGATTTATTTTGTTGATTCAATGGCCACATAATCTTTCATTCTTATCATTATGAAAGGAATTTTTATCTTTCTCTTTCTGGTACTAAACAAGACAGATGTGTAAAACGGTGTCGCTTGCACCTGTTGTAAATCCCGTCAATATTTCACGCTTAACCCAGCCCCCTTCTCTTCTAGTTGAGTCGAATCCTCCTTAAGTCTCCCGTGGTGAGGACACAAGAGATACGGAACTATACGCTGAGGCACGGGCAATTTTACCTTTCACCTCTGGACAGAATCAACTGTCATTGGTCTGTCTGCCTCTGGTTTTATCAGCTCTGAGTAATTGATAATAAAAGTCGTGAAGTTATTCGCCTGGACGGTTGAAAATTAAACGACAATAATGTGAAAACCCGAAGCACAAAAGCTCCTTTGTCAGTAAATGGCTGCTAGGAGAGTCTGCTAAAAAGGATTGGAGTTTATAATGAAAATATTTATAAAAAATTACAGTCCGGATTATGGTAATATCTGGCAGGCAGGCAGGCACTCCTCTACTCTCCTGCTAAGGCTTGGCTCGCTGGGAAAAATAAAAGAAGGTGCTGGTGGATTTAGACGGAGATTAAGATCATGTTTTTCAATCATACTACTCAATTAGCGGAGCATTGGATATGGCCTGGAGCCAATAGCCGTCCGTGATGCTCCCAGTCAGCAGAAGGGTGAACTTTGAATATGATTGAGTTCGATGGGAATTCGGTGGGTGGCTATTTCACTGGCACTTGCACTAACACACGTCGCTTCATCTAAGAGCAAGACACCCGATTAAGAGCCTCGAGCTAACGGAGACCGAAACTGGGGCACTAGTCTAGGCCAGCTACAGCTACCAGTAAGCCGGCTTCGGAACTACATCTCTACACAACAGGATTCTGGCATCCGGAAGCTAGATTCTGGAATCTAGTTTTACGAAAATTGCCTCCTGTTGTGACACCAAGAACCGAAGGAAGAAGGAACGAGATTATGATGATGATAGAAACAGGAGAAGGAGGAAATTTAACAGAATCGATTTTCATTTATTTTACTCTCTTGACTCTTCTTGACAAAAACGACCTTATTACCTGAGATAGATGCTGGGGTCGAGTTGCGGTCGATGTCATGTGTACTACTGATGCGCGGGGCATCCTGAAGCCGTTCTCTTCCGGTACAGTTGTCACCTGTAAAATAAGACAAAAGAAACTTTTAACGATTCTGTTGTCGTTTTAGTTATATAAATCCTACAAGTTTAAGTTATATGTGTATTATATATAGATGTATTTGTGTATGTTTGAAAACTAGAATTGGAACTCGGAGAGGATTTTCGGGAAAGTCGTTAGAGCATAACGAGTCACTTCCGTGCACAAATGCTCTAAATGTTATTCTCATTAATTACTGTCTCAAAATAAACCCAAGAGATGTTTTATTTATTTTTCAACCCTTTGTCTTCGGTAAACAAAATTATGTAGACTGATTTCCTTTTTCCGTTTATCAACTGGTTAATTGTAAAAAAGTTTAGAATTTTTATTACGTTTAGCGGATAATCAATCTTTATTTTTTGGTGTGGAAACAGCTGATGCTCATTTGGAAATCGATTTTAATGATGAGCTGCTCACTAAGAAAAAAGTGTTTTTTTTGTCTAGAATACTAAGTATTCAGCGAGTATTCTGACAGTAAAAAATACGGATTCTTTCTGTAAGGAAATTTTGTAAACCATTATTTTCATTATTTTTACCTTGTATTGATAATTGTTATCTAAAGAGCGACTGTTTGTTTACAAATTGTTAAACGTTAGACAAAATGTGTCTTTATAAAGCTATCAAAGTGTTGATTAATATTTATAAATAAATTTTTCTATATGGCTACTCAAAGGACAGAAATTTTCTGCAACTGCCAACTGAATAAACATTAATTATAATCGAACAAAACAATGTTAAGCTGCTATTTTCAATCCGCAATTTCCTATAAGGCAGATGAAGAGATTAAAGAATGAATTGGGTTGAAAAATTTATTTTTTCAAAAGTTATCGTGTTTGCACCTTCATGAAAATTTGAAAATCGACACTATAAGCCATTAAAACCACTTTTTTATGTAACGATAGTAATTATCTACTGTAAACTATAAAAATAAGTTAGAAACTAATTTAAATGAGTTAATTACAAATAAATTACAACAAATTTTACTTCCAATTCAATTTTAAAGCTTGTTCAAATTTTTTCTTGTGAAAATTTGAAAATTCTACACTATAAGCCATTAAAATTACTTTTTTCATGAATTGAAGAAAAATACGTATTTGTACTGTAAGAAAACTGAAATAGGGTAGAAGTGCCGTTTTTGTCCACCTTAGCACCATTTTTGGCCAGTTAACATTTGAATTAATTTATAAAAAATTACAATATTATAACCATATTTTTGTTGAGTTTTAAAAAATTTATATTAAAACAAATTGAGTTTGTAATGGTTTATTAATATAAATTGTTATCTAAAAAGCGCCTGTTTGTTTACAAATTGTTAAACTTCAATTAAAATGTGCCTTTACACAGTTATCAAAGTTTTGGTTAATATGTATTAATAAATATCTAGAATTGTTTTAAGTTGATTGATAAAAAAATAAAATAGAGGGTGATTGTTCGAAGATATAATTGTGAAAGTTTTGGTAGAATAAAAATAAGTATTGCTTCAGAAATTAAATTTTAGTATTTTTCTTATAAGAATTCCAATTTCTTTATTGGAAAAAAATTAGGAGGAAAAATACGTTTTTTTAGTGTTGGAATAAAATGTATACAATAAAAAAAGTTAATAGAGTAAAAAACTCGTAGTGTGTCACTTTATTGCTCCGAGAGTGCGGAATATTGACATTTTATTAACGAATATACTGTTATGTGCATACATCCCATGCGTATCCAGATCGCGCTGTGTAGTTACTAGTTACTAGCAGCGAATTCAACCAGTTTAATCACAATTAACATTGATGGGACAAACAAAGCCATAGCCGTAGCTCTGCTTTTGAGCGAGAAGATTTAATAAAAAGATTCACACCTCGAAAATTCACGAGTTAATTGCAGATACCAGATAACGAGGTTTGTCGAAAAAAAAAGGCATTTAACATATCGACACACTGTTTTTTTTTTTTTTTCCATCAAGAGCATGTACTTAAGATCGTGTATCTTTGGATCATTACGTGCTCTTAGACGGGTTGTATAACAGGTATATTTATCCTTGATGTACGATCTGATGGGTTATGGATCGTCTAATGTAACTACGGAATTTATCCACGCAATTACATCCACCGTATTTCATAGCCCAATAAAAACAAGCTAATGGTTATATGTCTACATAACCAATGTCTTTTTATCACTTGGTCTAATTTTAAAACAAAAATACGTAGACGAGTTTGGGGTTGACCAAACGTCCAAGAGATATTTCACTGTATTATAACTTCAATGCTATTCAGGTCAAGTGGCTATGAATATCCGTATCCAGCTGTCACTGGTCATTCGCAGTTCCGGGTGAATTCACGCTAGATTCTTCCACGTCCGGTCATCAACATGTGCTTCAATCTTATTAAAGGAAGGTATCATAGCCTTTTTCAACGCCAAAAAGTGGATGAATGCACGGAAATATAATGAAAAACAAGGAAACGGATAATAACCCTTAAAAAATAATTTTCTTAACAGACCGGATTTGGCTCAAGTTGTTATTATGCATCAACGTCAATAGCCTGCACTCAATAAACCAGAGAGAGATCGTTTTGATAGCAAGTGCATGCTCAATGTATTGCTAATTAGCGCTGTCTCTGGATCTCATCAGCTCTCAACTCTTGTCAGCCATTTTATTTGTTTTAACCTCGCAATACTTAGTATCCGACTGAAGAAGACTTACTTAGCAAGTGAGAAAAGGGCGACACCCCTGGTAATACCCTGAGGGTATCTAGGTATCGGTTTCTTTATAGTAGTTCAATGCTTTGAGGGTCTTTAGCCAATCTGTTTGTCTGTCTGTTGTCTTAAGATATCTAAGTAAACAATCTCTCAAAGGCTAGATATGTTTATCGTAAGATTGTAAATTTATTAATAGAAAACAGTTGAATGAACAGAGGAAATGCTTGAGAGCTATTTTAGGAAAGTTGTCTGCTGGTAAATGCATCTATACCAACAGCTTATACAATGCCATCAGCTAAACAGATATTTCGGATGTTTTACCAGAAATTCCCGAGAGATTAATTAACATGTCTGATTAATGTTAAAGATTGTAAGCTTTGATTGGTTTGTTTGAATTATTTTCGACGTTAAGTATAATGGATAATGCTTACGAAAATAAATACTGTGACTAAGAATCGTGATGTGGATTGCAAGCTACGACTGGATTAACTTGGTCACATTGAGAATGTATATTTAGATTAACTTACTCGATACTTAACTTGTGCTCGAGGATAAAAAGAGCATAATGCGTTTGATGATTAATTGCTGATCAATTAAATAAAAATATTTATTGAGATGTAAAGTTGGTTTTTACTGTCAGATCATCAGGATGTTAATCCGCTTAATAGATCAAGATCACAAAAATATAGTGGTTTATATACACGTCAGTTGTCACACTAATTAGTAGACAAAGTGACTTTGTGCAATAATGGAGGATGCAAGATATAATATCGGATTAGACAGACGTAATGCACCCAGCTGATAACACATTATTAAGGCGCCCTTTGATTGCGCTTGAATTATCAAAGTGAATTGTATTGTCTTGCTGATTAATTATCAATCATCGGAAGAAAACTTTTTAAGCATAAAACAGTTAAACTTTGAGATAATGATGGCATCATCTATTATAGTTGATGGGGGTCACCTCGGACAAACTTTTCCGATGCCCTGGATCTTGCTACGAATCTAGTATATGAACAGAAAGGAGACAGAATCGCAACCAGAGGGTATTGTTATAATGCGAGCGAGTAACTTGAGAAACATCTATCGATTTGCACAGTGACATTGGCTCTAATTCTTAAAGTATTCTGGAAGTTTACCAAAATGACCTTTTAATATTTAAATCTGTCTTTGGGATTCACAACTTTTCAAATATTCCTGACAAATTGGGCTTTTGAATTTCATTGCCAGCCACTGTATTGAAAAAAAAAGTACTTTTCTTCACGGAATATAAAGTATTATTGAGCGAGTATTTTTACAAATACGTATTCTTACTCTAAGAAAATGTGAATCATAAAATAGAACCAACTAAAAACTGTATTGCTTTAAATGGCTGCTCAAAACACTAAATTTCTCCAACTGCCAGCCGAAAAAAAATTAATTATAAGAAAACAAAACAATATTAAGCTGCAAATTTTAATCCGTAACTTACTTTAAGGCAAATGAAGAGATTAAAAAATAAATTTAGAAGAAAAGTTAATTTTTTCAAAAGTTATCGTGTTTGTCCCACTATAAAAATTTGAAAAATTCACAGTTTAAGCCACTATAACCATTCTTTTCATAGTATTTGTCCTTCTAGAATATAAAGTATTAAGAGAGTATTTTTACACAAAAAAAAAAGTATTTTTCCTGTAAGAAAACTGGTATAGTCTTCACTGAAGTACCAACTTTATTACTCAAACTAATACTCCTTGCTATTATTAGCACACCAAAAACTATATTCAAGCCATAATTTTCTTCACTTTTACCTTTTGTTGGTGATTGTTATCTAAAGAACAGCTTTTTGTTTACAAATTGTTAAACGTTAGACAAAATGTGTCTTTACAAAGCTATCAAAGTATTTGTTAATATTTACAAATGAATTTTTCTATATAGCTGCTTAAAGGACAAAGAATTTCTGCAACTACCAGCCGAGAAAACATTAATTATAATTAAAAAAAACAATATTAAGCTGCAATTTTCAATCTGCAACTTCCTTTAAGGTAGATGGAGAGATTAAAAAATAAATTGAGTTGAAAAATTTATTTTTTCAAAAGTTATCGTGTTTGTACCCTTATGAAAATTTGAAAATTCTACACTATAAGCGATTAAAACCACTTTTTTAATAAATTGAAGAAAAATACGTATTTGTACTGTCGAAAAACTGAAATAATCTTCAAAAATACTAACTTTGATACCTATAATATTAAAACCACACCAAAAATAACATTTAAGGCATCATTTTCTTCGATTTTACCTTCTGTTGGTAATTGTAAGAAGATATATTCTCTACAATAAAATACATGGACTCTTGAAGTTATTCATTAGTCGATAATCGCAAAAAATGGATCCTGATTCATTATTGGTCTAGCCGTAGAACGTAGACGTATCACAATATCGAAACATTATCGAACAATTATAAAAAAAAAATTCAGCGAAAGCGCGCTATTAAAAATTTTTAGATTGTGTAAATTATTGCAAGGTTAAGTTTAC